CACGGGAGGCATGGAGAGGGTAAGCGCTCGCGCGGTTTACCCACGATTCTGGCATCACTGCCCCTCAGCCGGTCTGCCGTTGGTGTTACGCCGTTGACCGGTTAAACGGATGTTCGTTTGCTCACAGTTTTTACGTTTTATCCGACAATGGTTCATAAAAGCGATAAACAATGCAACAACTTACTTACGAAATCTGAAAACAGAAAGCCGCAAGTGTTTAAAAGAAAACAGGCTGAATACAAAGATCTTTCGAAGAAATTCGTAAACACAAAGAATGATTATTCGAAACAATTTGCACACATATACGCTGCCAGACTTGCCGAATTAAGAGATCTTTTAATTCCACGTGTTCAAGCTAAATGGGGTATATATTATATTTTTTTTCATTATTTTGCAAGAGATATTTTTGTTAATAATCGACGAGTTATGACCAGAGTACTATAATAAGCATAGACAAATTACTTTAGTAATAATTTGTTTTCAAATAGAAATTAAATGTATCTTTATTTGGATAGGAAATATTCCCATAGTGAAATTGGCTGAACTAGAAAATTTAGATGGCCAAGAATGTATAATAATTGGTACACTTTATAAACATCAACAATGGAAACCATCGATCTTACGTGAGCTCAGTGAAGATCATCAACTCACTGTTCCCTGTTCTAGATCAGATTATTGTTCTGAAAAAGACCAGCCTTTCTTAGAAGATGAAATGCTACGTATCAAGTTAGTAGGTGAAGAAGTTGATTTAAAAAATATTGCTACTGGAGTTGTTTGTGCGGTACAAGGTAATGAGAACAGTGATGGAGCATTTATGGTAATTGTTATTTTATATGAGCAAATGTGCCTGAATAATTATACATTTAACCCATGGACAGAAATAACCTATTATATTTAGGTCAAGGATTGGTGTTTTCCTGGTTGTACACCAAAAAACTCTGTAACTGAATATACATCTAAAGGAAAATTAGTGATAGTATCTGGTTTAGACTTGTCACAAAGTCTGGAAAGCTTAGGAATAAATCTTTTTCTTGAATGGTTGTCTGGAATGGCTGGTAATATCAAAGTTCAGAAAGATGGAACCTCTATTGTTCGTCTTATTATCGCAGGTAAATCATTTTAATATTGTAAAAATTACATAAGATTGCTGATAATATAATTTGCAATAACAGGTAATACTGTAAGCAGTAATAATACAACAGATACATCAGCTAAAGTAATTGGAGAAGCAATAAAGAATACAGATACATTTTTAAGTAATTTAGCAACTTGTTGCTGTATTACTTTAATGCCAGGTGAACATGATCCTACAAATGCCATGTTACCTCAAAAACCACTACATCCATGTTTATTACCTAAATCATTTAGGTATTATTTTCTTACATATTGGTTCTAAAAATCAAAAAACGTTTTATTATTAATAAATTTTGTTTGCTCTCGCAATAGATTTGAAAGCTTTAAAGGTGCTACTAATCCTTGGATTGGTAAAATTGAGCAACGAGTAGTAATTGGCACTAGTGGTCAGTCAATCAATGACATCATCAAAGCAACTGGTAAAACAAGTATTTCACCTATTCAGTGGCTGGAGAAAACTTTATTGTGGAGACATGTGTGCCCAACTGCTCCAGATACCTTACTAGCTTGTCCATATTATGAAAAAGATCTATTCATTATGAAAGAATGCCCAGATGTATATTTTGTAGGAAATACAGAGAAATTTGAAACAAAATTGTGGCAAGGTATGTGTACTTTAAAAGTTTCATAACACTTCATAGTATGAAGTCATTAATAATTGAATTTTTAGGTGATGAAAATCAAGTGATTAGATTGATATCAGTTCCACGTTTTAGTACTACTCATACCGCCGTGATAGTCGATCTAGAAAATTTAGACACACAATATATTGCCTTTAGTAATACTGTATAAATGAGTAATCCATCAGTACGTGATGAATTAAAGCATGAAATGCATTTTTATACTTTTCTATATTCTATTTTCTACTGCAATGTAATCTTGAAAACTTAATTGAAAATGTATACATGAAAAAAAATTTAAATATATTTATTATGTTCATTCGTAAGTTGTGAATTTATTCATTATTAAAATTCATTTTATATCCTTCCTTTGTTTAGAAGATTCTAAAAACTAACAGATAATGTAATATGAAGAAAAAACATTTTCTGTTGTTGCCTATTTATTTTTATTTAAAATGTGATGTACAAAATCTAAGCACACAACGTTTAAATATATGTATGCTTGACTAAATATAAAGAATATAATAAGAAAGAAATTACATGTAATATCACAGATTGTTAAAAAATCGCGAAATCACAGTGACATGAAATTTTAAACAATGAACTTGTTTCTTAAATAAACATGAAATCATGCTACATAAATTATAAGTAGCAAGAACATAACAGTCAAAATACAGAATGTGGTAATCTTTTAATACCAGAATTTATATTACTTGAGTCACTTTAAATTATTTGACGTGACTGTAATAATTAAAGTGACGTAATTGTCTGATCGCATCCTAAATCGATATTCTTACCTGCATAGTGTATGAAAAATATTAAGTAAATGTAGATGATTATGTACATATTCTTTAAAGATTCTGCAAGTGAACTGCTTTTGACTGTTATACGAGATACGAAAAATTATGAAATCATAAAAATATAAGAAATGATGAATATAGAAGTGTAGTAATTATACGCAATAATAGGGACACATACAATAAATTATAAGTGTTCATAATAACTGGATGCTAGGTTGATAGTTTTCAATTACTTTACAATGAACATTTTTTGCAACTAGAAATAATATGCAACGTCGAAGGGTAATGTTACAAACATTTCGGTTGGCACTTTTATTTAATGTAAGGATTTGATTATAATATAAATACATTTTTATTGTTTATTTCTTTTTTTTTAATATGCATGTATAAAACTGTCTAATGCTGTTTGTATGAGATTCTAACTTTTGAAGGACTGTATGTCCTGTTATTATTTATAACATTGAAAGAAAAATATAACAATATCCTTATTCTAAATAAAAGGATTGGTGTTTATACAATTCAAATATTTTGGCCGAAATAGTAGTACTTAAAAAGCAATTATTAAGGTTTTCCATTGATTTAAGCAGAAATGAAGTTATAAAATTTATATTTATAATACACTTTACAGATTCGTAATACCATTAACTTAAGGTGCATATTACATGACCGACAGGTATATGTAACAATTGACAGGTAGCTTCTGCATATAGTAACGACGACGTAGACATACTGTACTTATTAAAGGTTTTATCCTATCTTTTAGCCGTCGGACGTATTCGTTCCTTTTCAGTATCCCTATCGTCAGCTACTGTCCATTCAGGATCATTCGGATCCTCACCTTCTATGTCACAACAAGCTGATTCCGTCGAATCGGACTCTGGAGAATCCATTTCCCCATCCTAGAAACGAAATATTAACATCTACCTAAGTAGTTATAACAAACTTATTTCGCCCAACGGTTATTCTGCGTATATTTACAACAACAAAATTATATTTAAGTTTACAAGCTTATAACAACCGAAAAGAAAATAAACAGCGGACTAGTTCATCAAAAAGATTCTAATATGCTTATAAAAAGATAAAGATTACGTAAACGCATTGCAATCTCTTTTAAATATTGCTAAAATCTGAAATATGCGGTAAAATAAAATGAATCATGTTTAAAGTAGGAAGCATCAAATAGCACTGCTTACCAGGAACAGCCTCGAGGAGCCATGAAAGTTGGCTCAAAGTTTACATTAATAATCAGTACGCGCACACATTTGTTTTGTAATAAAACGATTCTGACGTAGATAATCAGTAATGAAACACTGAATGCAATCACAGAGTACGTACATCATCTGCTTTCTCTTCTTCTCGGGAGCACAGAGACGCTGACGAAGCTTGCCAATGCCCATCTGGCATCACTTCCAGCATTTTGTCATAAACTTCTTCGGATAATGGAAATACCCTTGGTTCGTATGGCAAAATCTATTTAAAAACATTATAAAATTTTGTTAAAATATTGTAACTTTACGTGCATGTATACAGTGCCACAATGATTCTTGCTGATCAGCTCATATATCACATAGCTACAAATGTTGAAAGTGACAGTAACTCAATACACGTAATATTCAATACTCGTATGGCCATCAATAAAATTTTAAACAAATAACCGCCACCGGTTCTTTTCAAACCCACACATCTATATTAAAGTCATATTACATCGTAATTATATTAAAAATCTGTTTATGTACTTTAATAATGTTAAATAACCACATAGAAATATATAGGTATGTATGTAATTAAAATACATTTACATTAAATGTATTCCAAGATATTAAAACTCTTAAAAATGTTTCACTCTGTTTAACAAGTTAAGACTGCGTTTAAGTTTCTAGGTATAAAAAACACACCGATGGCCGAATGAGTGTTAAACCATACATACATTCTAAACGCATGGAAAAAAATAATACCTCATTTTCGTCTTCATTTACCAAAGTACTCATGTCATCCTTTCCTAATCTTAGCGTAGGTGTTGTACGACGTCGTAATGCATTTTGTAAAGCAGATGTCCGTTGTGTGTCCGAGTTATGTTGATTTTCGGAATCTTGAACTTGAGAAGGAGTCGCAGGAGGCGATGTAACTGGCGACATCACATCCCCACCAAAATCGCTTGCATGTGGAGACATAGGATCTAAAAACAAAATCATTTGTCGTTTTCTCCAACAATTTATTACGTTACATAACATTCCTATTTTTCGAAGCGACCGAAATAAAAATAATTTGTTGAGCCATGACTCAGTAATCATTGCTCAAGAAATTATGATGCATATAACGCAATAAATTTGTTTCAGATAATATTTAACCAAATATTTCAAGAACTACAATAACCTGGTGTATTCGCACCACTATCTGCTCGACTATCTGTCCTGCGATTGTGACGAATACGTGACTGATGTGGCATATTCATATATGTCATAAAACGTTTATTTTCCTCTCGCTCACTGCGTTCATGTCTCAAAGCAATGGTTTCATCTGACATATCTTCAAACTAAAAAAATAAAGAGATTCTCATTATCTCATTCACATATTACCGCAACTACTATCGTATTTACTTGGATACTACTAAATTACATGGACTTACATCACTGTCTTGACTAGGCCTGTGCATAACTCCATTCTTAATATCCAGTTTCGAAGGTTCTTCGCATAACCTCCACCTTTATTTTACAAAAAGAAAAAAGATATATATACATTATAACACAAACGATTACAAACTTAAAGACATCATTTTAATGATTTAACATCACTTACTTTGGTGTCAATATTTCTTTGTATTGTAATTTTTCAAGCCTAGTTGAAGCAGCTACACTATATGGTATAACAATATTATCGATATCGTATGAATTCTGCCTGAGGCGTCTGAAATAAAAAGTTTTATTTGTAAAGATATTACTATTCTTCTTTAAGTATACAATTAATTACTCATTCCTGTGCAACAATTAATTGTGCAAATTTTTCTCTAGAAAAAAATGTTTTTTTTTTTTACTAGATGAATTAATAATACTGACCCATGAGAAGTGGAACTTTTCTCTTTAACAGTATTTCTTTCTGTAGAAGTAGCAGTATGGTGCAAAGGAGAAGGCACTGGAGATGAATGCTTACTAGAGCTGGACAGTGCACTAATATCATCATCATCTTCAGCAGGCAATTTTTGTACCCTCTTTCTACTCAAACCATGGACACTTCTATCGTGACCTAGTCTATTTCTTTTTCCCTTCAACATTTTCCTCTTAATTCCTAGAGAAACGAACTCAATGGTAAATAAATTTAAAAAGATAAATATATTATATCATCTCATACGTTCGTGCTGCGATGCGTGTATACTTTTCACGCATCGATTTATAAACACAGGGCAAGAAAAGACCAAATACATTTCAGCTTAACTCTTTGAAAACAATCTGAAAAATTCATTCGTAGGCATATGACCGTAGAATAGTAAGAATAGTGATATCTGGCAGTACAAAATCATGAGCAAAATGTGTGTTCATTTTTGACATCTCATGTTATATGAATTTCGAAAAGGAAAGTTGGTAACAATCGCTACAAACAATATGTGTTGTTTGCGAAAAAGATGCTCTTTCCAGGGACTTCTACCGAAACGTAAAATAACGGTATTATACCGGTATTTCCGATTGTACCTTCACCACATAGAACCTTATATAAACCCTACCCTTATAGAAACCGAAAAAATACCGGTATTTATTTCGGTTTTCGGCATACCGATCTTTGATGGCATAATACCAGTATTAAAATCATACCGGTTTAAGACCTTGATTTTTTAGAAGAGAAGGTAATTTTGGTTTGGAAGACAAAAATGTTCCGAACGTCCTTCTCAATCAAACGGAAGATAAAATTCGAGATCTTTTAGAGAAATCGCAAAATTTATCGGTTAGGAAATGGAGATCATAGAAATACCTAAGCCAATAATTCATAGGGGGTAATTACGTTTTTTCATGAAACTTAGAGGTACGTTCAAAATATTGATATACGTAACCACTCGAAAAACGGCACGAACTAATGGGATGACCTAATATAAATAAATAATCGACAAAATTAATTGGAGCAACAAAAATGGAAGATTCTACACGATACGTACGTGCTGTAAGAATACTTGAGGATGATTTTTTTAATCGTGCAGCATATTTTGTTCTGTGCCCTGGAAGTTTTTTATTCCTTCTCTCATTGCCATCTTTATCCTTCAGCCGAGTAATTCGTAAATTTCCTCTTAACATTTTTTGTTGCCATTCCACTGATTTCATGATAGCTTCAAGATGAGTTCCTTGAGTAATTTCTAAGCAACAAAAATGTTTACAAAAATCGTACAATTTTAATTCTCTTGAATGTTACGTTGTAACAAATTAAAACACATTTTTCCTAAAATTATGTTTGAAGTGAAGTACTTTATGCATTTCATACAGTAGTATGTTATTTACCATCAGGAAATGACAACACAGGATGATAACTAGGATCAACAAGTGCAACTCGTTCTTGGACAGACATCTGTTCAATTGGTTCTTGTGGTTGCATTGGATCTGATCTTCCAGTGCATAAAGCACACGGAGGTAATACGTTATCACAATTGCATCTTAATGTTGATGCTTTTGCTGCTCGTTTAGAAACTTCATGTAATCTGTCTACTTGCAATAGTTTTCTCTTCCTATAAAAGCTCCATACGAATGGTCGTGTTCTACTAGCTGGTAGTTCAGTTTCTGACGAACTATAACGTCCTGTAGAGCCAGGTAAAACACCACTATACCCGTTTACTGTTTCAGTGTTATCAAGTATCACTAATCCCTTATTAGCTCTAATATGTCGTTGCAATTCATTATGCTGTCTAATTCTATATTCCAGATCTGATATTTGTGCTTGTAACCAAGTCCATCTTGCAGCTACACCTGCACGATCCTGAGCATACCTCCATGCTGCTCTTTTTGATCTAAAAGCAACATTAATGAAACCTATGTTCATACTAAATGTAGAATATTTGAATCTTTTTCCACTGGCAATTTTTAGAACAAAGAATATTAAGGTAACTCTAGCGAATATACAAGCATTATAAGTTTAGTAATATTTACACACATAGCAAAAATATAATATTCCATATCTAAAAGAAATGTATTTTAGAAAACGAAAATATTATTAAGTAGAAATTATCTGAAACCGGCCAGACATATTTATTCGGTTTCAAGCTTTCCCATATTTCTACTCAAATAATTATATAGTATAAAATTTTTATCAAAAACTATGTAAAACGTGTATTATGAAATCTTTCGCAACAATTATTTTACAGGGTAAGTACCATCTATAATTATTTAATTCGTTAATAATGTATGTATACCGTATCAAAGTAGACATAAATAAACTTGTATTTTCATTCTATGCACAATGAAAATGAAACAGAAAGGGCCTGAGAATTACTTAGTATACAGGGTGTCAGGAGATTTATTAGGTATCTGTGTCATCCTGAAATTTCAGCTCATTCCTTGTACTGTCCAAAAAGTACGTTAAACAAAAGTTGAACTATATTTAAAGGTACATAACTTTTGTACATCCAAGTTTCTTTACTTGCATTTTTTCGGAGATACGCATGTTACTCTCTTTTTTCCAAATAAAACTTACGTTTTTTTAAAACAATTCTTATTAGAACCAATCATGACAAATCTACCAACTATACATATGTTACAAAAAGAAACATAAATAATGTATAAAACGTTAATAGAAGTTCTGGAATGCTGTGATTCCTTTATACCTTTGAGTGTTCAGTTGTCTCTGAAATGAACACCTCCACATACTGCGACATTCCACAACGTCTGTTCACATTTTAGACATCATGTTTTCTTTGCAATATACTATTACAACTCTGCACTTCATGGTTACTCATCTTTGTTTATTTTCTTAACTGAATAAGGATAAGCAATTAATAAATAACACAATTATGCTTGTCTGTTCAAGTGCAATCATTGACGACCCGTACTTCCGGAGACCGTCCAGTCTCGACTCAAGCGTCCAGAAAATAGTCAAAAAAGAAGACGAAAAAGTGTGAAGTTATAACAATATGTGCAGTTGTTAGATTTGTCATGATTCGTTCTAATAAAAAATATTTACAAAATGCTACAGTTTAATTTAAAAAACTAAATCCATATCTCTGAAAACAATACAGATATAACTTTTCGTACAGTTGAAAGGAAATCCTGAAACTTCATAACAACGCTCACTTGGTACACCCTGTATATTAAAGAATATGATTTAATTGTAATTGGAAAATAATAGTAGTTATAAAGACGAAATTAAAACTCACATAGATAAATGTTGCTGATGTGGGTTATTAAATGTCTGCATTTCATCACAACTTTCTCCACCACTACTGGATGCTGTACAATCAGAGTCAAGATTGGACTCCACAACATGTAGCTGCATGGCCAAGGGTCCAGCCAAGTTTTCCATTTCATCACCTTTAACTTTAATTTGTGGAGTACCAAACACTGGCTGTCGATTACCATTAGTGCCAGAAGTGCCACCCAAACTATCACGCGATCCACCACCAAAATATCGGCAACATAATCGCTGACGATTCACACTATTGCTCTGAGCAACACACATTTTCTCAATCTTTTGCAAAAACGAATTTAAACTACTACTAATCTCAGGAAAGTTTCTAGCATTAGATTTAGAACTGATATTAACCAATTCTTGAAACAGATATTTTTTCACTCCATGATGAGCAAGTTCAAGAACTCCTGTATTTTCTTCGGCGACATGCCTGCCTATTATTCTTGCCTGAAGCTTCCTCAGTCTTCTTAGTAAAAATGCACATCTTCTCTCATTCTCAAATTGTTTTTGAGCAACAATATCTTGCTGCAACTTTATGTTGTTAGTTTTAGGTTGGTCCACAGTTTCTGCAATATTCATATTGTTGCAAATACTCATGACATCAACATCGTTAAGTAAATCCCGTTCAAAGGAAGAAAATCCTTCCTCGGGCATAGAAAACATTTCCACACCATCCACAGTGCTTTGCACTGGTTCACTAACACCTGCAGATATGTTTTCTGCATTTTCCACACTTTCAATAGATTTAATAACTTGCAAAATCTCTTCTACATTGTGTCCAATATCGCTGACATTGCCCATGTTGCACTGCTCGGTATCTGTAGTTATGTCAGTATTAAAGGCCATTATTTGATCCACGTCCAGATTTTTATTGTCTCCTGCAGCTTCTGAGCCCACCAAAGGCAAGTCTGCACTTGATTTTAAGAAACCCATATTGTCCGCTTGATCACCCATAGATGGGTCGTTCATTATAATGTCGGTCACCTTTTTGTCTGGACTGTCCAGAGTGTCTGGTTGTGCACAGTCCTCTTTAATTAATGACTGTTTTGTAATCAAGTCAGATCCGTGCGTAAATGTTGACAAACTATCAAGATCATTTGCATATTTTGAGTTGATGACATCACGAATCAGGTCCTTGGATATACCATGTAAACACTGCTCGTCAATCTTTGATGGCTGAACGTTTGCAGAGACAACAAATTTCGCCAGAATTTCACGATTCTGGCAGACTTGTGTAGCCTGCTCTGGGGAAAGGAACCCACCAGCTGGAAGGGAAGGGAGCAAATTTTCAGGCTTCTGAGGACCACCTTCCGTCAGAGCAGGGGCCATCACTGCCACTGACACTGCCAGTGCTGCGGCCTCGACATCCAGAGGCTCCCGCGTGCGTGCGCACCCACACCTGCACTTCGCGTGCACTGTGCTCACTCCCATTCATCCATTGCTAGTTTATTGTTCTGTGCTTTTATTATATGTTCTTATCCCCCAAAGATGTTTCCCCGTTATGATTTTGTTCTCTTGTCTTATCTTCCTTATTCCTTATTCATTTATCTTTAAACATTATTTTGTTTCATCAGTCTTTTCTGTGTCCATTATGCTTAATTTCTTCGCTTACAGATTTGGAACCAATCGATGACATTAATTAATCTGCAAATAAATTGTTAAAAGTCAATTAAAAAAGTAAATGCAATTCAATTAATGTTTAATTTACACAATAATTCAAATATTTATGCATTTTGTTTCATTGTAATTTCTTAACACTTTTCAACATACATTGAACAATAATTTTAATGTAATCAGTTATATATGTAAAATGTGAATATGTAAGAATGAAAATTTCAAATTTCCTTTGCATTATGTTCAAAATACTTAAAAGCACAATTAATTTATATTTACCGTTCATATATTGTAATATATTAAAGGTAAATACTGTTTGGAAAGAATAATATATGTAATAAGATTATATGACATGTAAAATAATCAATGTGTGAGGATTAACTAAAGTTACGCTACAGTAAATTTCTATGTGTCACAAAATTATGTGTGAATGTATAAAATAAAAATTCTGTAATCCCAGATAATTATACGCTTCAAAATACACAGCAACAAAAATGTGACTTACATTTTATTATACAGCTGTGGCTTTCATTAAAAAATAAATCTTAGTTTATATATTACATTAACAATTAGCTACCTCAAGCAACTAACACTTTTTGAACATGATTCACACATTTTTCTAAATTTCTTAATTATTTTATCATTTACAATTACATCAAATAAACAAAATATAAAACATTTAGACATTATTGAATAAAATATAACAGAAAATACATAGAAACAAAAATATTAGTATACAATAAAGCATATTAATTAAAATACTTATGACAATTATTTTATTTATTGCTGAACGATCTGTTAATCAATATATTACTACAAAAATATTCATTCATGATACATAACGTAGGAAAAACAAGTGTGCTAAAAATGAAATATGAAAAATTTCTAATTGTGCTCACCTTATATTTTTCGTACGTAGAAAGGAAGCATATTTAATATCGGAAAGTATTCAGGGCAATATTTCTCGTAGGAGTAACATTCAAGCACGCAAGATAACATAAGAGGAACGTCAGAAAGGCGAGAGAGAGAAAGAACTCGTTCTTCCCACGAAGATGTATGTTCCAGCGTTGAATCACTATTTTCGAACGATGAACTTCGAACGTCGAGTAATCCGAGACGGTAAAACACTGCCGGTGAACGACAACGCGTTATTAAAAAATTTAGTGCATTAAAACAGGACGACGCATCTATAAGAAAGTTCAAAGGAATAACACTTTGTTTGAGAACGGCTGCGTGGTACAAACGAAGGAGAAAATACGCGGTAGAAAGTGGAGAAGGAAGCATATCCGAAAGTGCAAAATTCACGTCCAATTGCCGCGGTACCGAGGGTGTTGCACATAGTTACACTAGATAACACTACCGAGTGAACATGTTACGGAGATTAATAACAGGTACGCTAGCATCGCCTGACGCATTCCCACGTGATTACTCGTCGCGAAATATAGAAAAGCAAATGAGCGGCGGCAGCGGCAGCGGCGTTTCCTTGTGGCACGGTATCAGAAAACAAAGATAAAAACATGCCGCGCATCACCATCGCCGTCCTCGTCGGAAAAGCAAAAGAAGCAGTTCTCTCTGGTCAGCTGCACGTCTATTGCATAATGACGCGCAAGATTTGTATCCCCGGTAATGGCACTCTATTATACGAATCACTTCGCGTCGTCGCCGCCGATGTCCACGTACGCGAAAAACCTTCACACACGCGACTTCCGCAGAGACGTCGAGGGCATTGAGAGTAGCCACAGAGAGAAAGGGAAATAGAAAAAGAGAGGGACAGAGAGAGAAAGAGAGTGAGGAAGAGAAAGATGAGAGAGAGAGAGAGAGAGAGACCCAGAACGGGGGACAGAGAGAGAGAGGACACTAACGTGTTTCACCTGGCGAATAGCGCAACCACGAGACATACGTTAACACGGACGTAGACACGTTTAGACGCTTGAACAGAGATCGACTTAAAAAAAAAAAGAAACAATGTAATCGAATGAAAACACACGGAAGAACGAGGCAAGCGGCTTCCTTCGCGGTACTATTGTGTGGCGTATAATGGCGGAGCAAAAAACAGATTCAAAGGCAGCTTCTTTTGGACAGTTTCCCCTCCTATAACGCTCACCTCGGTTCGGGGGCGTTCGACATGATCACACATGCACCCGTAAGATCCACAAATAATCGGGCGTTCTTTGGCACTACGCAACACGACACAACTTCCGTGCAACTTGCACAGATATAAATGTCCGTCACACCCAACGCACGATAATCCGTCGGCCGATGTCTCGTTAGAAGGAACGCGCGTATTTCTAACCGTTTTGCGTCAGTTCAAAGTATTTTGTCAGGTATGCACGCGATCCTGGCAGCTCAGGCTTTCCCCCTCTGAACACGAACACCGACGTTGATTTGGATAAAAGTCACACACGAGCAACGCGAGCTATTTATCTATCAATAATATATAGGAAATTTGACCAACTTCGCTGTAGCTGAAGCGGGATCGACCAATACTGCAGTGCTGCTGCCGGATGTGGCCTTCGTGCCACGCTATCCAATCGAATTCATTTTCTATCTATAATGTCGGCGCTAAAGTCCAATTCGCAGTTCGATCGCGACACCAGTGATGGGTAAATCCCCATGAAACCAAGTTATTTACACAACGAGCAATGTAATGTTTTATCATATTTTATACTTCAATCTGATCGGGGTCGTACGTATAAATGACAAGGTATGAAGCAAAGGTAGAAAAGTGAATAAAGATAGTATCTCAGGAAAGAGATGGAAAGTCAAAACAGGGTAATAAAGCTTTATAGAGAAGAGGAAAGTAAAGAGAAAAGGAATAATAATAAGAAATACTAGGAAAACTGCTGAGACAGAAGTACCCCTGGAGGGTGAAGAGGTGACGGGTCGACAGACGAGGAGGGGGGGAAGGAGATAGGAGCATGGAAAGAAAAATAAAAAAAGAAAAGACAAGGATAAAGGAGAGGATATGAAGATAATAAGAGCATATAACAAAGTTCACCTAATAGACAGAAAAATAAATGAAACATGCTGTGAAAGAAAAGAAGACAACCAAGACCACATGATGGAAGAAAATATTCCTAGAATACCAAATGCGGAACGCCCAATGGAAAAGGAAGCCAGTAGAACTCACTCCGAACCGACCAATAGGACAAGAGGAGTGCAAAGTAAGGTAGAGCCACAGCCGACTCTAGTACTAGCCGTGCTGAACAACGTGACAACACCGCTCATTGATTAATTATGCATAAGGAATACATAAATATCATAACTATAGTAAGTAGAAGTAATATAGAAGAATACTAATATTTATAAATGTGGTATATATTTTGTGGACAGTCGGAATAGTTTGGTGTTGTGATGCATTATATTTGAAATATTTACAGTAATGAATGTGAAATATTACAGTGAAATATTACAAAAATTTTTCAAGAAAATATAAGAGTGAAGCATGATAAAACCATCTTTGAACCATCTTGAAGCATTTAATAATTGATAAAGGTATGTATAAGTTAATAGAAATCTGAAATAGACAAAATTATTTGTACGATGCCAAACAGGTTAAGGAACATGTGGAAAAGAGGTTAGGAGTTTATTATTTACAGTTTTCACATAATCATTTAATAAAATATTCGAAAAAATTGACAATAATTTAAACAAAATACTGTGGTAACTTTGACCACAAATGCATGTATCTGAAAATGCTAAATAATGTATATGTGATTGAATACTAATATATGTTAATTTACATAAAATATGTTTATGATTTTCAGATTGCAAAAATTGAGTTTCTAAATTGCCGGCATTTATTATGGCTTCCATTATTGCATACATATGAATAAATGAGGTTATCACTTCTTCAGTGGGAACTGAAAGGCCTCCTCTTTGTAAATGACCAAAATATACATTGCCTAGAGTTTTACCTTTATCCTCCACAATTAATAATCGACATATATTGCAATTTAATTTTTTAGCAACAGAATGGGACCCATAACCAGATATGTAAATTTTAATGGATCATCTACAACAGAATTAGACAAGCAATTGTATGCAGCCGACGATTGGCTATATATAACGAAAAAGCCATAATAATGGTGCAAGAGCTATATCTAATTTTTTCATTTTTTATTTGTCTTATTTGATCTATTACTATTTCATGATTTTTGGTATAAGCAAATTCAATTGATTCTGCAATAATATATGCCTTATTAAGTTCTTCTAGAGATTTCTCAAGATGTTATTCAATAAGACATGTCAGTGGTAAAATGTGGACTCTGTAATACTTTATATCTACTTAATAAATTTTTAAGATGAGACCACCTAGATAATTTCTTATCAATAGGCAGTACCCACTTTAAATCATTGAATGAAACTTCATTGCTTTCTTGAAAAACTTGTAATTTCATGTTGTCACTAATCACAATCTGTGTATTTAGAATCAAAAAGTCAGAATCATCATTACATGCGAGCATACAAAAATAAATTTATGAATTTGTTATTTTTGTAGTCCCAGTCTGCGAGACCGTCGTCTCGCAGAAGGAGGACGACGAGCGGGACCGCGAGGCGCGCGATCCCGCTCGTCAAGAGAGGAGGAGAGCGAGGCGGGGCCGTGGGGCCCGCACAGCCAGCTCCGACGGCGCCGGCGGGGAGAGGGGGAAGCCCCCCCCCGTAGGCGTCTCCTCGCTCCCCGGCAAGCGAGGCCTGCGTGTGTGGGCGGACGCGTGCGTGGACATCGAGAGCCGGAGCTTCGGCTCCTGTGGCTCCCGCCTTCGCGCGCGCGTCCGCCGGGGCTGCTGATGCAGTGGGGGTGGGGTCCCCGACTGCATCCAAAGCGACCCGGTAGTGCCGGCGTCGGAGTGCAGTCCTCTGACGCTGGCGGAGTAGAGAAGGGGGGGTGACCGGGTTATCGGTCACCTCTGGGGGGCGTTCGATCGCCCCCACGGAACGGGCTCCCCGATAAGGGGAGCACAGGCGCGGCGGGGGCGGGGCGTTCATACGAGATCCCGCCACCGCCGAGTTCCGCCCGAGAAGGCTGCCGCGGGGGTTTTAGTGGGTGAGAGTCCCACCCCAGGACTCCGAGGTGTGCATAATGCATTTCCCCCGCGAAAAAAAAAAAGAAGGTATTGAAGCCGGACTGCCGCGTTGCCATTTTTACCTTCAGCACACCCACGAGCAAACTCGGCTTCTACTAGGGGAAAAAGCAGCATAGAATAAAAGTCTCCTACCACTTGGTAAATTTATTCCAGATACTGAAATTAATGTTAAATCGAATGTTAATTTGCCATAAATTTCAGTAATTTCAAATACCCAGAGGAAGGAGCATAGTGGGAGGCTCTTTACACACGTCACTTTTTCCCCTAGCGGAAGCCGAGTTTGTTCTGTTGCGTGGGCCCTCAGGGAATCCTGAGTCTCAAAGTAATTAAAGTTCGTAACACGTTAGTTTGATAGATAATTTTGAATAAAAAGGAAATTGTAATAATAATAATAAAGAACAATAAAGATTTAAATTAAAACTTGGAGAACTATATTTAAACTATTTAAATAAACGATTTATAACTAATTTTAAAGGAAAACAAATTTAATTGATAAATAAATTTTTATACGTCCTTTCTATTACAAAGTTGTCGGTGGAATGTTACGTCTTTTCATTTCCCTTCGTATATCATTTTGTTTAATTACAAAATGTCCTTAGTTACTACTGACCAATCTTATAATTATTAATTAATAAGATTAAACCTGATTCGTTGATGTGTTTCTTCCCGGTTATTGATAACGAGCGATTTACATATTTGCAATGATTCTGAGCGTTAGGATAGGAGGCAAAGGCAACTGGCAAATGTTTAAACATTCGTTTCTAAGTGAATATTGATTATTTTATAATCTTGAAATCCATTTATTAAAAGGATCTCTAACAGATTTCACACTTCTTCAAATCAGTGTCAACTTCACCTTTACCCTCCTTTCCTATTACATGTGTTATTCGATTCAAACTTCGCGCCTGTAAAGCTTATGACATATACCGCTACGTGATATGAGCGGGGACCGCAACAGCTCATAGGTGTACTAGAGTCGGTGTGTTATTACTATCCCCACTTAATAACGCTGTGAGTGCCACCTAGTACATAATTGGAGAATTAAAACTGCTTTCAGAGCACCCTTCTGAGATGTGGGGATACTAAACTCGTGTTAACAGTCGTCCTATTCGAGTGGAACACCTCTGAATGGAATCTTGTGCTCCGTCTTCTAATTCCTATGTCCATGGGTTCAGTCGCGGTATACATTCCCTGTGACGCATGCGCCTATTCTTGCGTTTAAAACATGATGAATGAATAAATGACAATTAAACGTTTTGACAGTAAGACGTGCTTAACTTTTAGTTAAGGAAAATAATATCTGAGGGACAGAAGTCAAACATTCCAATGAAAAATATTTGTGTATTTTGAATGAAAGTCAAAATCATATTACATCTACGTGGCACGCTCTCTGTAGAGAACCAAACAGAACCAAAGATGACTGTACCCGCTGTGACCATCTGACCATACGGTTCTAATAGGAGTGAATAGGGGTTAACAGTGTTAACTTAACACTGTTAACAGGCCCTCGGTCACTTTGGGTATTGCTGGGTATAATGTATAATACTCTTATACCTCGTTTGTGATATTACACTCAAAAATTTCTTTTAAAAATTACTTGAGTTTGAATTAATGTGTGGTCCTGTTATCAGTTTATTAATCGCTATCAACATTAGATGGCGAAGAAAATAGAAAGCTGTCAATAATGTCAATGCTGTTCACAAACTTATATTTTTAAGACATGATAAGCATAATAATGTGTACGTAACACATTATTTATTAAATTTGGAGAAAGTGTATTAAAAAGTGATGAATAATAATTATTCTAATACTCGATAAAATGGATATTGCTAAATCATTATTTAACGTCCGTGATCATGAGGGTTATATTGGTAAAGAGGATCATACTGTAAGTATATTTCTGTATTTAATTCTAATATACTGACAATTTAGTGACATTTTTAGCAAACAAAATGTTTAAATATTTGTATTTATACATATATGTATATATTTATATACATGTACGTGTTTAACAATTTCTATAAAACAATACTTAATTGCTGTCTAGCTTATGAAAGTTGATACACATTTGTTACTATTTCTATTGATATTTATTTTTTTACATCTTTGCCTTTTAGAAAAAATTGGAGTCTGCTATGTCCGAATTTGAAGTGGAAGTTTCAGGCTTCTGTGGAGAAATTTTATCTCCTGCTCCTGGAGGTCCATTTTCTGCTTTGACGCCGTCCATGTGGCCCCAAGATATTTTAGCTAAATTAAATCAACCAGATGATCCTAATTCGCAACCTGAATATAGGTACTATTTGTAGATTATTTACAACTCATCATTCTAATATAGATTAAAAGATTAATATGAAGTAATACAATATGTTAGATTTGATGAATTTGGATTTCGTGTCGAAGAGGAAGATGGACCAGAACAGAGTTCAAAAAAATTACTAGGTATTCCATTTGTTGAGAATCCACAGCATAGGTATTGCCACAATTATTGTATACGTATCTTAAATATTTTTGTTAACAAATTTTATATTTAATAATGTCAATGTATGTAGATTAAAGTGGGTTGCTTTATTGGAATTCAGTCATAATAATGAAGTGACAGAATTTTCATGGCAGAATTTAGATAGAAGATTACCTCGTACAGATAAATTACGTGCTATGGTCCATCATGGTGTACCTCATTCACTCAGACCTCAAATTTGGATGAGAATGTCAGGTAGCTTATTTATTAGCTGAAATATTTAAATATTTCAGAATTATTATAACTTGATTATTTTACTTATTATTATAGGTGCATTACAAAAAAAATGTTCTTCTGAAATAATGTACAAAGATATAGTGAAAGCATCAAGTAACGATGCATTAATGACTAATAAGCAGATAGAAAAGGATCTGCTTCGTATTATGCCTGCCAATGCATGTTTTAGTCATCTTAGTAGCACTGGCATACCACGATTAAGACGTGTTATGCGTGCACTTGCTTGGTTGTATCCTGACATTGGGTAATACTGCTTTCATGAATTATTATTTCAATATTGTTACTACATAGTGATATTATCCATTTATTTTGCAAAGGTACTGCCAGGGTACAGGAACAATAGCAGCTTCTCTCTTACTACTTCTAGAAGAAGAAGATGCTTTTTGGATGATGGCTACCATAGTAGAAGATTTACTACCAGCATCCTACTATTCCTCAACGCTGTTGGGTAATATGAGTCATAAAATAAACGATAATAAAGAAAATGTAATTATTTTTCCTTTTAAACATATATTACAGGTATTCAAGCTGACCAAAGAGTACTTCGCACATTAGTATCTAATTATCTTCCCGACATAGACCATGTCTTGGTTCAACATGACATAGAATTAAGTTTAATATCTTTGCACTGGTTTCTGACTTTATTTGCCTCTGTCGTACATATGAAAATATTACTACGCATATGGGATATGTTTCTTTTTGATGGATCAATAGTTTTATTTCAAGTTACACTTGGAATGTTAAAAATAAAAGGTGAGCATTTATACTTCCTATACGGTGTAATATTTTTGACAATTGTTACCAAAAATCTCATGACTTATAAGGTAGACCTACACATCGAATTGAGTAAAAAATGCCTAATTAACATAGGTTGAAAAAACAATCGTGAACTTGAACAAGTAACCTGTCACTTATCTCTTTATTCCACTTTCCTGTCAGGACTGTACATAAATACTCACAATACCATTTTTCGTTAGGATTTCCTTCTGTTTCTGTACACCCTCCACTTCCACACATATTTTATACTATTTTATGTTATAAAAAAAGATTATTAGATTGATTTGGTTATAATTCGTCTTTGTATTATCAAAACCAAAAATTATTTTTAGTTCTAATAGAGTTGATTTTTAGATATATGTTTATTTAATGTATTTTCAACAGTTTAATGTGTACTACCTATCTTTAAGCCAGAATCATTGTTTGTAATGTATATAAAATTTATATTATTTAATATATTTACAGAATCTGAACTAAGACAACTGGAGAATTCTGCTCAAATATTTAATGCTCTCTCAGACATACCAGGAGATATTGATGATGTAGAACAGTTATTTATTGTAATATTCTTTTTTAAGTTTGTAACTTAACTTTGTAACTTACTACTTAATATAAAAATCGAAATTATTTTAATTTAGAATAATTAATATTGTAGATATCTTTAGAAGTAAGTGGATCATTGACAGATGTTTTGGTTGAAACTCATAGACGCAGACATTTAGCATATTTAATGGCTGATCAGGGAGGATTAGTGGGTAATCCGGATGCAGTACCAAATTTACCAAAGCAACATCTTAATAGGTATATAATTTATGAGTTCAATATCAATCAAAAGTATTTTATTTAACAAGCTTAATTATAACGATTTTATAATATTATTTATATTTTCATGAAGGCGTCAAATGAAGAGAAATAAATCGATGCTACAAACATTCTTATTTGGAAATTACGACACTGAAGATGATGCAAAATCGAAAAACATCCGTCAAACAGGTATGTATAATATATAGCAATTGATAGTATATTTCCTTGTATCGAGGGAATAATAATTATTATATTTCAGAAATATTGGTGGATTTAAGAGAAGCTGTTTTACAAGTTGCTAGACATTTTATAAATGTTGATCCAAAATTGAGTAACATTGTACTCATTGCAGACTACAGTATGGAGAGTCATGCAAAGGATCATGATAATTACGTTAATGTATCACGTACTAGAAAGAGAAGAGCGAAAGCCTTATTAGGTACTTTGATGTAAATGACACCCTTAGGATTATAGTTATTATAAATGTTATTCTATTGTAGATTTTGAAAGACATGATGATGACGAGTTGGGTTTCCGAAAAAATGATATAATCACAATTTTAAGTCAAAAAGATGAACATTGTTGGGTAGGAGAATTAAATGGACTGCGGGGTTGGTTCCCTGCAAAATTTGTAGAATTATTAGATGAGAGAAGTAAACAATACACATGTGCTGGAGATGATGCAGTTAGCGAGGCTGTTACTGATTTAGTTAGGGGTACTTTATGCCCCGCTATAAAAGCGGTATTGGAGCATGGAATGCGCAGACCTTCATTTCTAGGTGGACCATGTCATCCATGGCTTTTCATAGAAGAAGCGTCAAATAGAGAAGTAGAAAAAGATTTCAATTCCGTTTATAGCAGATTAGTACTTTGTAAAACGTACAGGTTGGATGAAGATGGTAAAGTTCTCACGCCAGAAGAAGTAATAATTGTTTGTGACTATTATATTCATAATAATGCAGTACAGTATTCTGTTCAAATTTTTATAAAAATACCATTTTTATTTCCAGTTGTTGTATCGATATGTACAATCAGTAAATTTAACACATGACAATGCGCATGCACAAATGGATGTAAAATTACGATCGCTTATCTGTCTAGGATTGAATGAGCAAGTGTTACATTTATGGCTTGAAGTTTTATGTTCCTGTGTAGAAATTGTACAAAAATGGTAAAAAACATTACATAAGATCATATACAACGTTTTCTTTAAACTTATACATTACTTATTACTTTTTAGGTATCAGCCGTGGAGTTTTATAAATAGTCCTGGATGGGTACAAATTAAATGTGAATTGAGAATATTAAGTCAGTTTGCGTTTAATTTAAATCCTGATTGGGAATTACCACCCAAGAAAGAACAATCGCAGCCACTAAAAGATGGTGTCCGCGATATGTTAGTTAAACATCATTTATTTAGTTGGGATCTTTAGCCCATGACATGAAAAGTATTCATTGTTGTTGATGAGATACTTGTGTAGTACAAAGAAATTTGCTTTTACATACATTAAAAATAACTGAATGCATATGGTGTGCGTGTGTAAGTGTATGTACATTGTCATAAAAATTAAAAATAAAAATAAAAACAGAGTAACACTATCATTACTTCTGTGTATTACACATGAATTATTTAAATTTTATTATTCATCATAAATGTGAATTTATAAGTTATCAAAACTATAATCAAACTAGTTGATTGAAATCTTATACTAATTGTATGTATAATATGGATATATGTATGTTATATATTCTATATAAAAAACAAAATTGTTAAGGAGATAAATCTGTCACATGTTTAGTGACTAATACGATAATTAGTGCATTTTGTATTTTTAAAATGTTTTGATGATAATTTGCACAAATGCATTATTTACTCTATGTATAATGACATTGTGATTGTTACACATAAATATTTTTACTATGTAAATCTGGGTTCATATTAAATTGATTTAATTAAATAGATTATAGAACATTAACGATTTATTTCTTCTGTTTAACAAAAAGGTATCATATTGGAAGATTCTTATCCTTTAATAGATTTTTTTCTGGGAATTTTCTATTTCTGCGACAACATGGTTCTGACAGATTATCATCAATAATTTTTATATTAAGGTGATCAGCTTCGTCAGTGGCAATAAATAGGGATCCACGTAAATAAGAACCCCAATCAAAAAGTAGTGGCATATGCATCCTTTTGTATTTTTCAATAGTCAAAGCATCGATATGAATATCATGGTCGTCTAAAACGTTTTCAGTTATCTCTTTACCAAGAAAATCTATCCTACAGTCACATTTCCTTTTTTTGATATAAATAAAGTGTAAGTCCATGACATTAGTACCGGTAAAGCCGGTTTTAAATAAGTCTGAACCTTTTTTAAATCGTGAATATAAATTGTACGTGTCATTATCATTTAAAGTATTTTTCGGAAGCATACGCTCCACTTCCATTGTTCGGTATATTAATGGAAGTACATCTTCCATTTCATTTTCTTCATCTTCTTTAATTTCTTTTTCTGTTTCCGTACAGACATGTTTTTCAGATTGTGATTCTTTCTTTCCTTTTATCACAAAACCACTCAATTCATGTAACTTACATACTTCTTGTGGTCTTAATTGCTCTAATTTTCGGCGTTCTTCTTCTTTCTTGTTCATAGCCTCTTTCTTCATTTGTAGATTATGTATCATTTTTGAAGTTGCAAGTTTTACCTTTGTATACAAATCATGAATTATTGGTCCAATAGCAGGATAACCGAATGCTCCTGTTGCATCAGTTGGGCCATCTTGTCCATCCGTGCCTGCGCTTAACATTATTACGTCGTATTCAGCAAAATGAGGGTTACTCTTTATCTTTGCCAACCAGTCTAAGGAAAAGTACAGAGCTAGTTCTTGATTTCTACCACCCTTTCCATTTCCATTGACTATGACTGTTGGTTCTCCTCCTCCAATCAGTACTATTCCTTCTCCACTCACATTTTCAAGCAAATTATAAATTTCATCCACTTTAGTGGGAGGCAATGAAAGTACAGGAATGTCTCTTACTTTTTCAAAGAATTCCCCTTTTGCTAGTTTCTTTTCTAATGCAAGACATATTAAACTTGTTACATGAACATATGCTAAACTGACATTATGAACATTGCCAGTAACATCAGTCCTTAATATTATTGGAACAAGCTTTTTACACAATGCTTCAAGAGCAGCTGCTTTAACTGCCACTTCATTATTCCCCAAAATAATATTTTTGACATGTTTAAACTCCTTTTTTTTCCTTTTTCCAGTTAGCAATGGTTTATCCTTAAAAGTTTCTTTAGCCATTATAGCCTTTTTTAGATCTCCTTCTACTTTGTCATATAACTCATATTTTTTTAAAATGGCTATTGATTGCTTAGATGTTTTACTATTATATACTGTTGGACCAGAAGCAATTAAATCTATAGGATCACCCACAATATCAGATAATATTAAAGTAATAATAGAAGCTGGAAAAGCCATTCGAGCTAAGCCACCGCCTTTTACCATGGACAATTTCATTCTAACTATATTAAGTTCTTTGATATCGGCACCTGCATGTTGAAGTCTTTTACAAAGCAGTAATTTGTCATCAGTATCAATTATTGGTCTTGGCATGTAAAGCAGTGCAGAACCTCCACCAGATATTAATACAATTAAAGTATCATTTTCAGTCAAAGATTCTACCAAATCTATGATATCATGTGTTGATTCTAGTGATCTATTATCTGGTTGATTATTTACACTTCCTTCGCGGTATTGTACTACACTAGTTCCTAACTTAGGAAAGTATGATTTATCTTCAGACTCCCATATTTCATTCGTTGCTGCAGAAGGAATGCTAACTGTGCCTTTTTTTAAACGATTGCCAAGCATATGTTCTAAAACTATGGACATACCCATGACAGCTTTGCCAAAACCAACCAAATAAACATTTTCTTTCAATTGAAAACTTTGATCACCGACTTGTAATACTCCATCTTTAACTTTAACTCTATCTACTATAAGTTGCTTTGGCGAAACTGCTTTAACACCAGCAAAATAGATATCTTTCAAAATAGATTTGGATTCTTCCAAAATTTTTGGATCCGTAGACATGTTTTCACTTGTAAATTTTATACTATGCAATAGGTTAGATTGTAGAAGAACCTTACTACTGAAAAGACGTCAATAAGTCATTAATCAATATACAACGGAATAATATAACATTTGTGCTGTCAGAAATTATTAAAACACTTGCCTGTACTGTGTGAATTTATGTGACAGTATTTTATAACGTATCTGTGAATGATACATTCTATTCATACATTTTTACGGGATAAATATAAGTTACAATCGCGTAGTTATCTATATAATTATACCGACGGAATCATTTATATTACACAGAATGTTTAGATATTAACGCATTAAAAGACTTGTTTGATATTTGTATATCAAGATTTTTATTAACACTGTTATAAACTTACAAATGAAACAACTTGAATGACCAATTGTTCTCCATTTTCATCCATTCTCGAACTCTACGTTGTATGTATATGCATACATGATACATATTCATATTATTTTGTTCTACTTGTACGTTTTAGAAATAATACATCGATAAATGTACTATTATTATTGAAATCTGACGAAAGATAACGGTTATTGAACGTAAAAACGTTTAATTAGCTGTTATAGTGAATTCAAGAGACATTCTTTCGTTGGAATCTTTTATGGCTCTGAAAAGAGCCGATTGTTTTTGGAGCCTGTTTGTCATAGATGGAATTTAACCACCAAATCCGTAAAGCGTTCTTCCTTGACGCTTCAATGCGTAGACCACGTCCATTGCAGTCACAGTCTTCCTCTTTGCATGCTCCGTGTACGTAACAGCATCACGGATCACGTTCTCAAGAAAAACTTTCAGTACTCCTCGAGTTTCTTCATAAATCAAACCAGAAATTCTCTTGACACCACCACGTCTCGCCAAACGACGGATAGCCGGTTTGGTGATACCCTGAATGTTATCACGTAATACCTTCCTGTGTCTCTTCGCTCCTCCCTTTCCTAATCCTTTTCCTCCCTTTCCACGACCAGTCATGATTCAAACGTCTCTTCGGTACAACAAGCTTGAAAATCGAGTCGAAAGTGTTATTTTGCTGAACTAGCCCTTCATTATATAGAGATTCTCGCTCTGATCCCCACCACTCCAGTATTGGCCAATGACAGTAGACTATTGTGATAACGATCCAGCTGGCAACCACCACATGTAGCCGACCAATGAAGACCGACCATTTCAATTTCAACAGCTGTGCCGCTACACACCTGGTTTACAGCCTATCAGAATCATCGTACGACTGCGCAACAAGCATATAAGCAGCCCAAACCGGCGGCGTTTCAGAATTTCGAGAAACTGTGTGCGGATAACATCGTTGACTCTGTGCTCCTCATCGAAATGGCACGTACAAAGCAAACTGCTCGTAAATCGACTGGAGGTAAGGCTCCACGCAAACAACTGGCAACAAAGGCTGCTCGTAAAAGTGCTCCGGCGACCGGTGGTGTGAAAAAACCTCATCGCTATAGGCCTGGAACCGTTGCGCTGCGAGAAATTCGTCGTTATCAGAAAAGTACTGAATTGTTAATCAGAAAATTACCATTCCAACGGCTCGTACGAGAAATCGCTCAAGATTTCAAGACTGACCTCCGTTTCCAAAGCTCAGCTGTGATGGCCCTTCAAGAAGCCAGCGAAGCTTACTTGGTTGGACTATTCGAAGACACAAATTTGTGCGCCATTCACGCCAAACGCATCACCATTATGCCTAAAGACATTCAACTGGCTCGTCGTATTCGTGGTGAACGTGCTTAAACGGATTCATTTTTTTGAATCAACAAACGGTTCTTTTTAGGACCACCACATTATCTGACACAGGAATACTCGTGGTTTGTTGTATCATGGAAAACCTTTCAAAAAATTCCTATCCTTCAGCAGCGAATGCTCAAGATATAGTAAGTCTTCGATTAATGTTCCAAATTCGAGATCGTTTTTGAACAGTTATCAAAGGAACACGATTCCATACTTCGTAAATTTTGTATCGAGCCTCGGCATCTTCCTTTTGTATTTTGTCGACAGCGATGGTCACATAAAAAGACTGCGAGTGAAAAAAACACGATCCAAGCGTCGAGTATAGTAACTAGTAATAGTTACTTATTTCGTGTTAACTCGTTTTCACTCATCATTTCTGATAAATTACCAATATATAATTTGAATCATCTAACCATTTTAAGAAAATATTCATTAACAAATAACTAAAAATAAAAAAGTTTGATTGTTGCATGAATGTTGTCTAATCGATAAAGATCGGATGATCATCTTTTTTGGCTTCGAATTTTCTTGCTTGACTGGTTCCAAGGGGTTATTGTTAATATTAAGTATGAAACAACAGTATTTTTTACGTTCAGGATTTTTCCGAGTATTCATCTATAATTTACTTTATGTCGTAGCTTTTTTTCCGGGTATTTCTTCGTTTAGGGCAGAGATAGGTTGTAGCCGGAAATTCGATTCGTTCTACACATTCACTGTCAGAATATTCTGTACAATACTGAAAATATTTATTTCATCGGTTGAATATGAAATATGTTATCACCTATTTCTCCTATTATTACTACTAGGAAAATTAATCAGATAATTAGTCATCATAGATATCTAAGTATGTTGTTGCTTGTACGATTTTCTTCAGTTTTTGCCGTTCTTGTCTCTGTTGCATTCTATCTAACATCTAAAAGCAAAAAAATGGTTTGATTTTGAAATTAATATGAGATCGACTTCCAAACCGATCACACAATAGGTAAATTATGAATTAATGATTCTATTAGAAAAAGATTCCCTTTAGTTCACTATTTGACACGATGTGGTTCTCGAGAACGTCAACTTAAGTAGATGTGCCTATCCTACAATATGTATTTTGACGGTTTTCAGTTAAATTAGTAAACAAAAAATTAAAAAAGTAGATCCTACATTGTACTAAATGTATTATGAAAATTCATGTGTAGAGTCCGACGAACGGTTTCCAAACAAAAGAACTTTGGCAGTCATATTTATATAACAGATATGTATTAGTTTTGGTATTATTTATCCTGAAGCCAGCTATATTTCATTTTGAATACATACTGATTTTACTTCGGTAACTATTGAGAACATGGTCTTATTAGCGCCAATTTCAATGACCTTGAAATATGTTATCAAGGCCGTCATTCTGAACAACTTTTTTCTAACATACAGGGTGGGGCAATAACTATCTCCACTTTGAATATTGCCATTATTTCTAATAATATGAAAAAATGTTATATACCAAACTTACACGGTATAGAGGGGGGGGGGGCATATTGTGATACAAACATATTCTGCGTGGGTGAAGGCATAGAGGAGATTTCAAGGTCATCTCTATTTTTCTTAATGGAATCTTATGATTTTTTTATCGCGATGTGATTAGCCGGTGTTGAGACGACTTCAGCGAGCTATTATTGAAGGTCATGCAAGGTCAAATGTGGTAGTAAAATAAACTTTCTTACATTACAAGAGATGCTCGAAGTGATGACCGTTTGCGTCATTGCAAAGTTGCAATCTTCGTATCGCTGCATTATGTGCATGTCTTATCGTTTCTGAACTTATTCTAGCACATGCTGTATTAATTTAATATATTTTTTTATATCATAAAATTATAAAATATATTATATTATATTAATAAATTATTTAATATCCAAATAAATGGATAGGACATAGAGGATTAGTTTCTTGGCCTCCTCGTTCTCCAGATTTAACCCCATTAAATTTTTTGCTCTGGGGAGCATTGAAAAATGCTGTTTAGCAAGAAATACCCACTACACTAGAAAATATGAAACAACGGATAATTGCAGCATGTGCTAGAATAAGTTCAGAAATGATAAGACATGCACGTGATGCAGCGATACGAATATTGCAACTTTGCATTGACGCAAACGGTCACCACTTCGAGCATCTCCTGTAATGTAAGAAAGTTTATTTTACTACCACATTTGACCTTGCATGACCTTCAATAATAGCTTGCTGAAGTCGTCTCAACGCCGGCTAATCACATCGCGATAAAAAAATCATAAGATTCCATTAAAAAAAATAGAGATGACCTTGAAATCTCCTTTATGCCTTCACCCACGCAGAAAATGTTTGTCACAATATGCCCCCCTTTATACCGTGTAGGTTTTATATATAACATTTTTTCATATTATTACAAATAACGGCAATATTCACAGTGGACATAGTTATTTCCCCACCCTGTACATGTATATAATATGCGGTCTTCCTTAGTTTCCGAGATATTCGTGAAAAACAGCTGTTTCTATTACCACACACGAGATATAAGAATAGACCTAATATGTAATGTAATTTTCTGTACCATGCCTTCGGGAACGTCAGGAGCCCTCGTACCATTTCAGTATTCCATTCCTTGCTAGCAAAACCGTGGCAATGATGTATGTATGTACCGCTATATGCAATCAAAGGTGTGTGTGTGCTGTGCGTTATCACGGTGTCGAATGTAATTCCTGATATCGGAAACTTTTATGTAAACGTGCGCTCGAACCAGCGTGATTTTCGTGGGACTTCAAGTCCCATAAGATGTTAGGTCTATTCTTATATCTCGTTTGTGCTATTACATTGAATTTTGTCTATACGTATACGTCTGTGACACCGTGTGCGTTAGCATCCGAATGCCGCTAATTCTTTGTTTCTTTAACTAGCTTCAACCTATTCAAATCAGTATAATGCTTCGCACAGTATTTTTGTTGTTGTGGTCAAACTACAGAAAAGCTGCCTACCCTTTGATTTCGATGATTTTTTGAGGTGTTATAAAACTCAAACTTTGAACAACTTTTTTCTATACATCTAATGTGTGGATTTGCTTATTTTCCGAGATATTCGCGAAAAATTTGTTTTTATTATTTGTTTATTCTTTGTTTGGGAGGGGGGGGGGTGGACCAATGTGGGAAAGAAAATGTAAAAAAAATTGAAAACGTTTCCCAATAATCGAGGCACAATTTGTGAATAAATAAGTTTATTGCTTATACATATTATTTAATGTGTAACAAAATCGTATTTAAACTTGATATTGCATGGGATATAGTTGAAGAGAAAATACCAAACCGCGGTAATTTTAAAATAGAACTTTGGATAATATTTTGTTACTAAACAAGTAATAAAACCATTATCATTTATTTATCTTTAAATACAATTACTACTTTATACTGTATATATTTTATTACATCATAGACTATACTATTGTAGCATCATAAATTTGGTCGTGACGTCATGACTCAGGCTAAAAGGCCACCCTCTGAAAAGGCTGGGATTATAGAAATTAGTTTTCAGGGACAGTTGAGGTTGTTACGAGCCCGGGCCGTAGCAACGCGAGAGCCGGCGAGTTTAGGTTTTCCAAGGAATATGGTATCAGTTTATTAGTAAGGTGCGCGAACGAATCTGACGCGAAGCCAGAGAGCCGCTAGGATGTTTGAAAACGAGGACGAACCTGATTCGAAATCAGGGAGCCGCAGGAAGGTGAAATTCGTGTACGAATCCGATAAGAAATTGGGGAGTCACTAGGATGTGATTTTGCAGATGAACAAAGCGTGTAACTGAGGAGCTACGAGCAGGGTGGAAAATCTATACAGACGAACCTGATGCGAAATCAGGGAGCTGTTAGGATGCGGACGAACCTGATGCGAAATCAGGGAGCCGTTAGGAAATGTTAGTTAGTGCCTCGTAACCTTTGAATTTATAATTAATACAACTCGAGCGTTAAAGTTGGATTAGTGTGGTAACGGTCGACCTGATATTATTCTAAACTAGAGGAAAGTAGTATATCGATAATACTACAGATTTCTGGATCGTGTTATGGATTCAAAATGAACTACACAGATTTATAAAATAACAGTATAATTAATCAATCTTTAGTTACAAATGTATTGTGTAGTGTTGTCGCGTAGTAGTAAGTAATAATGAAATAATAACTATTACCGAAATAAATAGTCGCTCGGTGCTAACGCACTGGCGATGCAGGGGTTGCGAGTGGATTTTACGGAATAATGCCAAAGTAATAATTCTAGCCGGAATACAAATAAAGTGTTCACGGTTTACTACAAGGTTAACTGGATTCGAAAGGGAACCTTAGGCCGATCTTACTAACGTAATGACCAACTCACAAGAACGTGACGCGACGTGACTCTAAAGATGACGGTACAGTTCTGATCCCCTGAGAGTTAAAATCAACGGGTTTATATAGGCCTAGAAATTGGTGGGGATGCTATGAAATTTTCATATAAGGAAATTTTTGACGGTTGAAGTTGCGTCACGGTTCCTAGTTTTTTGGTTACCACGCCGTGGGACGGATTTTACTCCCTCGCTTATTCAAGAGATAACAAGTTTTCGTTACGTTTGTAAGGGCGTTTTTTTTTTTCAGACTATTAGAGCGAGGGGTATGATAGAAAATTCTTCATACGTAGCAAGGTTGAGGATCAACTACGAACAAGAGATTTCTGACCTGCGAGGTGCGGTCATCACCATTTGTGTATTGTTTTAGACTAGCGCATTCTGAGTATTATTCTATAGCAATTTTTCCTACTTTTAGATTGTTGTTTTATTTACTTAATACAGTTTATATATATTGATTCCCTAAAATCACCGCTGTTTGGTATTTTCCTTTTAACTGTATCTCATGCTATATTTAGTTTAAATACAATTTATTATTTAATAAACAATGTGTACAAGCAATAAAGTTATTTTTACACAAATTGTGTCTCAATCATTGTGAAACGTTTTCAATTGTTTTACATTTTCTT